CAAAATGCTTTTGCAGAGATCATCAGTGGCCTTGTTTAGTTCATTCTGGGTGGATCAATAGTGTTCAGCAAACACTCTCCCCTCTTTCACTTTCCACTTGTTGAAGACCCCAAAGCCACTAACAATCTGGCCTCCAACCAATGGCTGGACTGTTAGGCGATCTAGAAATAAAACTCTCTTTTTAAAGTCACTGGTGCTTGCTGAGGTCAGCACTATGTCCATCAAGGTTTAAACAAAACTGGTATCTAACCTCCTTCCTGGGTCCAGTGGGAAACTCTTAAGTTCCTCTCTGTGACCCTCAAGATTAATTGGGGTTTATGTCACTCCTGGTCATTTGTGACCTGTTCTTGCTTCCAATGAATTAATTCAGGTTATGGATCACCTGGCCATCCCTCCCTGTCCCTTTTCTACATATTACTGGACACAACTCCAATTCTGCCACTCTTTATAGAATCACAGACACGAGGCTGCATGAGAAGGATTTTTACAGAAGGTTGGGGAGCAATTGTGGGACTTCACATCTCATACTTAAGGAGGTTAATGCTAACCGTTATGGACTGAATTGTGTCTCCCCCCCAGATTTATGTGTTGAAGTCCTATCCCTCAGTATTTCACAATGTGACTGTATTTGGCAATAGGGTCTTTAAAGAGGTAATTAAGTTAAAATGAGGTCATTAGGGTTAGCCCTAATCCAACATGACTGATGTCCTTATAAGAAGAAATTTTTTAACACAGATGGGTATACAGGAAGACAAAGTGAGAAAATGGCCATTTAGAAGCCAAGGAGAGGCCAAGGCCTCAGACAAAACCAACCCTGTCAATTCCTTCATCCTGGACTTCTAGCCCCCCAGAACTGTGCATAAATAAATTTCTGCTGTTTAAGCTACCCAATTTGTGGTACTTTGTTATGGCAACCCTCACAAACTAATACACCAAGTAAAGGAAGTTCTTTTCCTAAGAGGAAATCTGGTGCCTGATTTTTAAAATAACAAGGTGCACCTCCTCCTCTCTACGTTATGATTATTTCTGGGATTCCAAGGAAGCTTAGCAAAGGAGCAAAGGAGGTAGGATGAGAGTGGTAGTAATAATATGGCCATAGGTAGTAACATTTTTTTCTTTTAAATCCTGCTGGTTTTAAGCAAAAAATCCTTCAGTAATCTCTTCTAAACTATAGTATGAATTTAACTATTGTTTTAGTTACTAAAGGTTATATGCAGAGCACTCTGAAATGATGATAGTAATGTCTTTAATGGAGCCCAATTGGCAATATATGTTCAGAAGTATAAATCACCTCTTTTTTTTTACTGTGAAATTCCAATTTTAGGAATTTAACCTACAGATATACCCACACAGGTGTGAAATGACGTATGTACAAGGTTATTCATTGCAGCATTGCTTATAATAGCAAAAGACTGGAAACAGTGTTGATATCCAACAACAGGGGATTGGTTAAATAAATTATAGTACATCTGTAAATTGAATACTATGCAGTTATGAAAAAACATAGGAAGCTCTGATATGATCTTCAAAATCTATTTTTGTATGAAAAAAATCAAGATGTGGAATAGTGTGTAAAGAATGCTAAAATTTGTGTTATAAAGAGAGACAGCATTACTTAGGTGGGTACATATACACTTGGTTGTAGTTACATAAAATATTTCTAGGATAGGAGAGAGGAACTGGAAGCTGGCAATAGGGGTAGGAGGGAGAATTTTTACAGTTTGACCTTTTGTACTTTTTGAATCTTGATTCATGTTTTAAGTATTATCTACTCAAAAATAAATAGTTAAAATGAAAACAAAACACGACAAAAATTAAAATAAATACATGATAAAGACAAAAATAAAAGTAACGTACACACAAGATCAAAACATTCAAACAGTACAGATGGACATAAAATTAAAAGAAAAAACTTGCCTCTTCCATCTTGTATGCATTTAAAAGAAGTTTGTTGTATTTTATGCAGTATTTCTAGGTGTTTTGTGGCAGGAGAATTTTTGGATTATCTAGTCTTCCACATTGGAAAGGGAAGTGTCCTTTCCCAATCTTTTCAGCATTAACAGCAATGTTTATTATTACTCCCTCTCCACCTCTATGGGCTCCTTTTTTGAAACCAATATCCATGGGACACGCAGCATTTGTTACATAATAATTAAACTGGACTCTGTGACTTCTTGCTCTATTGGGTTATCTTATCCACCAATCACAGTGCTGTCTTTATCAGCCAATCAGAGTTTCGAGAAACAACTCTACACTTAGTAAAAGCCTCTTCAGTGCCAGCCTTATGCTGGACTCTAGGAATAGGCAGGAGAAGGGGAGATTCTTTGCCCCTTCTCTGATCACGTGAAGATTTTACTAAGTTGACCCATTCTCAGCCCAGGAGTTCTTTACCTAGCCTAGTGGAGGCTCCTTAGAATCAACTAGGAGCAACTTTCTAAATATTGATGCCTAGGCTTTACTCCCAGAGGCTCTGATTCAGTAGAGAGTGGGCTCTGGATATGGATGTTTTGAACCTACGGTGATTTTTATTGGGTGTGGCATGGCATACATACATATGAAATTTCTATAAGGCCTTTCGCAATAATAAAAATCGCCTGTGAACTGAGGGTCCATTTGGTTCAGTTTCCCTTCCAGGGGTAAGGCTGTCTCCTGCAATAACCCTGAGGCCAGTCAGCCTCAATTTGAACATGTCCCTTCCCCCAGAGACAGGTTACTCAGTCCCCATAGAGATAGTGTGATCATTCTCAGAACACCTCTGCTTGCCCCAAGTTCTTCCCTTGCCTTTCCGTGTAGCTTCCTTGTTCCGCTTCCTGCCCAATGGCTCCTCAGCAGCCAAGTGGAGTTTCTGCTAAATGAACATCTGGCCTTAAATTCTACCAGTGCTAGGAACAATTACAGGAAGTTTTCCTGAGGGAGTGAACTTCCAGCATTTGATGCTTTATGCCATGGAGATCTAGGAGGGGCTCTTATCACACACCCTTAGGACTGGAAGGGGCCTCAGAAGTTTTACACACACACACACACACACACACACACACACACACACACGCAGAGTCGGTTCTCGGTTTTTGGTGGTATTTATGTTCTGAAAGTTGCTGTGAACACAAATTAGTGAATACTGAACAATTGCCCCTAGGGGAAATACAGGGTTAAGTTCCTGCAAGTTTCTGCCCACAGCATTTTTTGTCAGCTGATCAATACATAACCTTCTTTTATGTGTGTTTCTGTTTAAAGACATCTTATTATTCACATATATATATTAACATTGAACTCAGAGCCAATAGCACTATAACATATTTGAACTAAGTTCATGTATTTTCTTCATAGTGCACCTCACACCCTTCTTGTATCTAGGTATACTAGATAGCATTTCAGGCATCATGCTTGGGGACAACTTTTTTTTTTTTTTTTTTGGGGTTTGCACACACACACACGCAGAGTCGGTTCTCGGTTTTTGGTGGTATTTATGTTCTGAAAGTTGCTGTGAACACAAATTAGTGAATACTGAACAATTGCCCCTAGGGGAAATACAGGGTTAAGTTCCTGCAAGTTTCTGCCCACAGCATTTTTTGTCAGCTGATCAATACATAACCTTCTTTTATGTGTGTTTCTGTTTAAAGACATCTTATTATTCACATATATATATTAACATTGAACTCAGAGCCAATAGCACTATAACATATTTGAACTAAGTTCATGTATTTTCTTCATAGTGCACCTCACACCCTTCTTGTATCTAGGTATACTAGATAGCATTTCAGGCATCATGCTTGGGGACAACTTTTTTTTTTTTTTTTTTTGCGGTATGTGGGCCTCTGACTGTTGTGGCCTCTCCCGTTGCGGAGCACAGGCTCCGGATGCGCAGGTTAAACGGCCATGGCTCATGGGCCCAGCCGCTCCGTGGCATGTGGGATCCCCTCGGACCGGGGCACGAACCCGTGTCCCCTGCATCGGCAGGCGGACTCTCAACCACTGCGCCACCAGGGAAGCCCGGGGGACCACTTTTAAACAGTGAAATCATCAACAAAAAACACAAAAATGCGAATAAGGTGGCACTAAATAGATCATGAGAAGCACCTTGGTTTACAGCATGAGCTGAAACAGAGCATGGTTCTTGTTTAACCTCAGCTGAGAACAGGCACGTGGGGCAACTCACATTTTCTGCCACCTCAAGGGTTCTTCTAGTATTGATCTTGGGGTTACAAATACATTTTTGTGAGCAGGAAAATCTGCAAATTCAAAATCAGCCAATAAAAAGCATCCACTGTATATATCCACAGTATACCTACATATATACATATTCCTTCTATTCAGTGCTAAAGGCTTTGTTTCTATCACCTCATTTAATCCTCACAAAACAAGACATGAGAATGAGTTTCAGAGAGGTTAAAAAAGGTCACAGAGCTAGTGACAGAACTTTGGTTTCCGTTTTAGACATTCATGTAATAAAATCCGCCCCCCCTCCCCCCAGTGTACAGTCCTATTTGTTTTACACGTGCAGTGACTCTTTTAACTACTACGACCAATAGGATACAGAACAACTCCAACACTCCGAAATTCTTCCTGAGGCTACCCTTTTGTGAGTCCGGTTTCTGGCCAAGCCCTGCCCTCAGCCTCAGGCCTTGCTCCAGGCCACACTCCCTCTCAGCATAGAGAACCTAAACCTGAGGGGCTGGTACCAGGCTATAGAGCTTTTTTGCAAGGGCTGAGAGGGCCTGGGTCTCGAGCCCACCTGTGAACTCCAGCCTTGTCGCCAAAGGGCTCCCTAACCCGCACTGCCCCGCCAGAAGACCATACGGCCACGTCGCAGGCGCCTCAGTGTACGCGCACGCGCACGCGCGCGCGCGCCCACGCCTGCCCGCCCCGCCCCCTGGCCGCCTCCCGCCCCGCCCCCGGTTCAAATTGCTCCGGCGCAGCAGAGGTTTCAATAGGTCTGCGCGCTCGTTAGGCCAGTCGTTCCTACGTTAGCAGCGGCTCCCGTGCCCAGAAGTGTCCGAGCCATGCATGTGGACGTCTCACAGTGTCCGCTCCGGAACCGGGTGTTTGTGGTGGGCGTTGGGATGACCAAGGTAAACAGAGCCGTGGGTCCCCGGAGGCGGGCTCCCTGCTCTGCTCTGTCTGGGTGAGGCCTGGGGAGACTCGAGGTGACCGGGAACCGGGGGTGGGGCGGGGGAGAATCAGATTTGGGGCCGTGCGTCGGTTTGTCCTTCCTACCCGGAGGGCGCCCGGGGCATCCCACCGCCCAGCTTGGCTTCTTGGCCCTGGGGGCATCAGAGTGGCGACTCGGGTGGGTTGTGATGTAGGGCGTGTCTGCGGGATCGTAATATCGCAGGGTTGTTCCAGCGGCCATATCTTCCTCTTTTTTTCCTTTTCTCCCTGGGGCGCAGTTTGTGAAGGACGCCCCAAGATGACCCAAAGTCCGCACCTCCTTTGAATCTGGGTGGAATCCAAAGATGTGTGGACCTCTGACGGAGGCAAGGTCCGCCTCACACCCGAAAGGAAAGCAGGTCGTGAATGTCGCCAGTCTGCACTTCCAGGAATACTCCTTGTAGGATCCTTTCTCAGGGACAGTTCCAGCGTAGATAAGAAGGAGAATCATTAGTGATGCTCAGCGTCTCGGCACAGGTGGCAGGTTTTCTGGATCCTCCGGCCTTTGTTGTTCCTCACGTGATACTCTTCTTGGTACTCAGGAGGCCAGAGACTCCTACAGTCTCACTTCTTGACATCCTCACCACCTCTGTGCTCTAGTGATGCCAAACTGCTTTTAGTTTCACCCCAAACTTTTTTATGCCTCTGTTGCTTTGCTTTCTGTTTTTCCCACTACTTAAGACCGTTTGTATTCACTGGTTAACGTATTTGCATTTTTATTTTTAAAAATTATTTATTTTTGGCTGCGTTCGGTCTTCGTTGCTGCACGCGGGCTCTTCTCTAGTTGTGGCGAGCAGTGGCTACTCTTCGTTGTTGTGCGTGGGCTTCTCACTGCGGTGGCTTCTCGTTGCGGAGCACGGGCTCTAGCTGCATGGGCTTCAGTAGTTGTGGCACGTGGTCTCACTAGTTGTGGCTCGCGAGCTCTAGAGCACAGGCTCAGTAGTTACGGTGCACGGGCTTAATTGCTCCGTGGCATGTGGGATCTTCCCAGACCAGTGCTCGAACCCATGTGCCCTCCACTGGCAGGTGGATTCTTAACCACTGCGCCACCAGGGAAGCCCTTATTTACATTTTTAAAAGATCAATTCAGACCTTCTCCAAGAAGCCTCCTCTGATCCTCCTGACTTTCCCACAGGTTAGCTTAGTACTTACTATTTTCTCCTGAAATTCTGTTTTTATGTCTATATTCTTCTTTTGCACGTAAGCTCCTCCAAGGCGAGTACCATGTCTAATTCATTGCTGTACCTCTAGCACTTTGAAAATGCCTTGTGCCTGAAGACCTCAGTGAATGTTAGTTGAACAATATTAAATGGATATGCTTTATGAAAGAGAGTTCCTAGGGGAAGTTCTCTTTCTGAGAAAACAGCCTTAAACTTGTTTATATCTTACCCGGTGGGCTGAGAGTACACAAAGCAATCAAGACATGTAAGTAGAAAAGTCAGCTAATACATTATGAAGCAGATACTTGGAGATCATCTGTTGTTTCATGGGAAAGGGAACTTCTGGTATAGGTGGACAGTAAAACCTTTTAAAGTGCAGTATAAATACAGTCAGATCCTCCACCACTGGCTGTTAAATGTCTGGTTATATTGGCTATATAGAAAAGCACTGAGCTTTGGGAAGTAGGAGACGTGTTTAGTTTTCCTCAAGTTGAGAGGTGGAGGTGTGGGAGGTGTTAGTTACAGTCTTCAGGGAAGTGGTTGGGACTATGGAGAGCAGCTTTATTGATGTGCTTACTAGGCCAATGTACTTCTCTCTGGGTTTGATCTTTTGGAACTTGGGGGAGGGTTTAATGAAGAGGGAGGAATTTAGCAGATAATACTTTAAGCTCTGTTGGTAGATCTCAACTGGTTGTGGTTCTTAATTTGAATAGCTGAATTCCTAGACAACTTGAAGTTCTCTTAGTGAGGTTTTATTATCAGTGTAGGAAATTAATTCCTGTGGTAAATTAGAATTCGCATGATGCATGTCAAGAGGTTTTAACACAACTAAATCACAACTACTACCTGGCTGACAGCAGGCCGAGTCCCTTTGCTTATGCTGCCTACCTCCTGATATGCCCTCTTTTCATCAATTTAAATTCTGGCTATCTTCAAGAACTGGTCTGTCTTAGTCGGTTAGGGCTGTATAACAGCAATACCTTAGACTGGGTGGCTTAAACAAGAAATATTTATTTCTCACAGTTCTGGAGGCTGGGAAGTTCAAGATCAAGGCACAGGCAGATTTGGTGCATGGTGAGGTCCTGCTCTCTGGTTCATAGACAGCTGTCTATGGCAGAAGGGGCAAGGGAACTCTCTGGGCTTTTTTATAAGAGCACTAATCGCATTCTTGAGGGCTCCATCTGCATGACTTCCCAAAGGCCCCACTTCCAAAAATGAAGAATTAGATTTGTGAGTTAGATATCAATATATGAATTTTGAGAGGACGCAGACATTCAGTCTATAGCAAGAGTCCAAGTCCTGTATTTTCTTAAAACTTCCTCAGACTGCTCTAAGTTACGCTGGCCACTTTTTTTTTTAGAAATTCTGGTGCCATTATAGTCAGGACCATATAATTAAGCATTTGATTTTTCTATACTTTTATATATAATTCCACAGCCCACAGAAAGAAATATATCTTACATCACAACTCCGTACACACATGCACTCACAAAACTGAAACAAGCTGTTGCTAAAGCGACACTTTTATTATGTGTGATGAATTCTTGATATTTCCTATTTTGTTTCATTTTTTTAAATGCTGATCACAACCCACAACCCTTAAAATTAATTTTGTCACACTCTACAAATCTACGGTTTAAAAAATATTACCAAATAAATAAATAAAAAATATTACATTATCGTGTTTAATCCTCACCACATAAGGGATTATTATTATCCACATTTTATTGTCCATCTTTGTGGCTCAGAGGGGCTAAGTAATTTATCTATCTTGATGCTGCTCCTAAATTTTGAAACTGCATTACTTAAAATCTCATGTTTCTTCCATGCTATCTCTAACACACCTTAATGTTATAGGGTAGTTAATTCATCATTTAAGCATATATTCAATAAACATAGTATGTGCTATAGGCTAGGAGTACAAAGATGAAAAAAGCAAGGTTCCTGTTCTTAAGGAATGTATAATATGGAGGAGGAAAGGATAAACAGGTAATTTAAATGTGATGTATTAGGACATTTGGATAAGCAGGGCAGGTTGAAAATATGAATTTATCTCTATTGGTGCTTTCCAAATACCACTAAAATGACAGTAAGGGTGAAGTGACTAGGAGAGGAAACAATAGCAGAAAGATGTCAGAAAAACATTGGATGATTAAAAGCTGATGGAAAAGTGGTCATTGACTCAGAACAGAGAAACCCACAACTCAAGTTCCTGAAGAGGGGTTATATTGGCTGAGTCTTCCTGCAGAACTCCAGGAGGCTCAGAACCTGCATGTACTAGATGCCAAGTAAGGTGGGGATGAGAGGAGGGAAGGAAAACACTTCTATGGAATAATTGGGATTCCAAGATCCTTTTTACCACTAGGTGACTATCTCTTCCTTGTCAGGGTATTGGAGGCTTGTTTTCTGGAGAAACTGAACAGATGAATCTCTAGAATCATCTGACCGTTAGGCTTAGTGGAAAGCGGGAGTGAGGCCCAAGTTGAAAAAAAGGGAATCAAGTGAAATTCTTTATACTAAATGATGGTACTTCCCAGCCCTGTTCCCAGAACACTGGCAATCAGACACATACCAGCTTCCTGGCAGAGGTTTGGAAAATTATGTGAAATGGCTCCAGAGAAAAGCCAGATTACCACTCCATTCAAAGTGCAGGATTTTCTTGCTTCCTTGGAGGGATATTGCTTCCATTCCAAAGCATACCAGACCACCACGGTGTTTCTGAGAACCCTCCTGCATTCTTCCATGCACAAAATGTGGGGTTTTGTTATTCTTTTTTTCCGTGCCTGCGACTGGTCTGGCACCCGGACTTTGATTCACGATGCGTGGTGGTGAATCCTGACTTTACAGCGTTTCTCCTCTTTGCGTCACCCAGCCTTCCGCTGCCATCACAGCCACCGCACCAGCGTCTCCTGGAGACCTGGGTCTCCAGGCCTCACTGCATGCGCTGGAGTGCTGGCGTTAACTTGTTGGCGCCTCAATCTCGGCTATTTGGGGTTTTCGCACTGTGGGACCCCCACCCCGTCTTGGCCTGGCTCCAGCCCAGCCCATCCTCTCGGGGGTGTCCACCCGCCTCCACAAGCAGAGCTCTGGCATCAGCCCAAGGCAAGGAGAGCAGACGCCTGGTTGCTTTTGATGTCATTTTTCACTCTCGGACCTCTGTTCTTCTGAGCATCACGTCAATGCCCCGGGTGTCACGCACCCCAGCAGGCCTCTCGGCACAGACACCGACCCACCCCATGTAGGGGTCCGTCTCACCAGGAAAACCCCACTTGCCTGAGATATTTGGGACCTTCAGGATGACTGGATTGCGGGCTCTTGATCTTCCTAAGCAATATTATGGAGAAAAATCATATTTATTGTCATGTAGGATCTGGTTCTGTGGGTCTTTTTTTTTTTTTTTTTGTAAGAGAACAAAAACTGGTTAAACGAGGTCTGCTGAAGTTGTGACTTGAACCACGCTTGACCCTCCAGCAGGTAGGAGACAGACCACTTCACAGTCCTGCCTCCCCACCAGGGCGGGGGCCCACGCCTTCTTACTCCCAGGCAGGAAGTGGAAGCCACCTTGGCTGGAGCAGCCCCCAAGAGCTGGTCATTGTCCTTCTGGGCAGGTCTGTGCCCAGCACATCAGCTTCTCCATATGCTACATGTCGCCCAGTTCTTCCATTTGCTGCCCCACCAGAAACACTGAAGACCGAGGACTGGAGCTTCTCCTTCATGGGTCAGCTGCTCTCAAGAAGGACCGTGTTGGCTGGGCCATTAAG